CAGTATATGTATACACATATATATTATTTCCTATGGCCTATGCCTTATTGGTATCGAGCTTGTATCCCATTGCATATATCTTTATTATTATTATTAGTGCGTTGGTATCGCAATCGTTGCTGTTGGTCTGTGGCTTCGGTTTGACCACCAGAATGACATCTACGTGCAGCAGATCAGAGCAGCTGACACTACCGTAGAGATCTACTACATCGGGACCTATATCACCATGGCGACAGGATGCGTTGTCATGGCAGTTGGCTTTCTTGGATGCTGCGGAGCAATGCAAGAAAGCGTCTGTATGCTTGTATTTGTGAGTTGGAAATAATTATTTGTTTGTATTCTATTTTAATTAAATTATTACAGAGTTTCTAACATAGTTTGTTGAATTTCTTTTATCACACGATAAAAATAAATACATACAATAAATAATCTAAGTCAAATTACAAATTACAAAAACTAATTAAAAATTCTAGTTAAAAGTAACAAAATTCTAAATGATACAAATTCTAGTTAAAATTAACAAAATTCTAAATGATACAAATCGTGTGAATGGTGGTCATAATAAGTTTCAAGAAAAACTTTAAGGCATGACCACCTACTACAGCGCCAGTCACAAAAATATAAAGAAAACAAAATCAACGGGAGTAAAGGAAGAAAAAGCTTATTTTTTACATTTTTACCTTTTTATATAGTTACTTAACTTTTATACAAGCAGAAGAAAAAGAAAAAATGTTTTTGTCATATACATGAAGCAGAGTTTGTTTATATTCGCATTTGAAACTAGCAGTAGAGTTTTTTTGTTTAAAGTCCAATGATATATTTTTCCATAACTTGGGTCCAAGATATAGAATAGAACGTGATATGAGTTTAGACGAGCGCATTCGTTTGGAAGTTAGTAGCAGAAAAGCGTAAAGTAGGAATGAATATCGGAAGGTTTAGTAAATAACGATGTAATAGTAAAAGGATTAAACATTATTATTGCCAATCAAAAAAGTATTGTGATTGCAATTTTACCAACTTATAAAGCACTGGGGGTTCACTATACCCATTCCAGAGGCCCATTGTTTCTTGGTTTAGACCCAGGTTCCCCTGCATTATTCATGCGGCACGATGTGATCCAGAAAAACTAGTCCAGTAGACACCAGCTCAAAAAGGAAAGTCAGGATGTCGTCACCATGAGTTCGTCCATGTGTCAGTTAGATAAATAATTAATATTTCTTTACGGTACGCAGTTACAAGATTTCAATCTAGTGACATTTAGACAGCACAGTTTATTATTCTTGAACTTCCATTACGGCGGGTTTAATAAAAGCAAGTAAATAATCATCGTGTCCAGTAACTTCCCCCTCTCCGGGATTCCCTGTAGAACCATACGTACAGTAATAATCCTTGTTCAGAAGCAAAGTACAGTATTTCTGTAGCATTTCGCACACGTCTTCAGTGACGTATCTAAGAGTTGGAATGGGGTCGGGGCTGATTGGGCTCGTAGGTTGTTGAAGTGGTGGATTGATTAAGTGCGGAGGGGGTGGATTGATTGATTGATTGATTAAGTGAGGAAGGGGTGTTAGTTTGCAATGAACACTTAAAACAGCGTGGAGGATTTAAACACAAACTCCACTCATTTTTGTCCCACTTTTGGTAACACGAAGGGTTTGCCCGACGGGGGGAAGGGTCCGATGTCTCCAGTAGCGGATTAAAGGGGAAGGGACCGAGTCAGCCCGGGCCCCTACATTGTTCTATTTTTTTTAATAGAGATATATAAAAAAAATTATATATAATGCAATTTCCGGCCAGCTAGAGGTGCCATAATCACAAATTTCTTTTGGCATAGATCCTCCATCTGTGAAAGTACTTTCCCGGATCCTCTCTATTTTGAATTCCTGGATCCGCCACTGGTCCCCGACGGGGATGGAAGGGTGGGGCTTTCCTCCACGCTGTTTTTACAGTGAAGTTATATTAGATGACTTTCAACTACTCTGTTTTTGCTTAGCATATAATTTTCCAGCCCCTCGTTTGTAGACTCTTCACAGCACCAGCTCCCTTCAGAATCAGTAACATAGTTATTAGAAATCATGGAGGAATTAGTTTAGAAACGATGATCCAAATTCATTGGGAATGTTACGTACCATAATTAAATTTTCTTTTCACAGTATTTCATCGCCCTATTGAGTATATTTGGTTTGGAGATAGCCGGCTGTACATGGTGCTATGCTAATCGTGAACAAGTTGGCGAGAAAATCAGCGTTGAATTTAGCAAAATAATCAAAGACAGATATAAACAAAATGATATTGCGGCACAGAGAGCGGTCGATTTTGTACAGGAGAAGGTAAATATAGGCCTATGGGTTTGTGATGATGTACACGGGTGTTTGATGCACAACGGTGGGCGCCTGGGTGTGTGGGTGTGTGTGTGTGTGTAGGCCTATTAGTATATATATATATATATACATATATATATATATATTTATATTACACATTGTTTCGCATTGTTTCAGTTTAAATGTTGCGGTATTGATGGGCACATGGACTGGTTTGAGTCAGGTCAAGAAATCCCAGATTCGTGTAATTGTAATACAACTGAAGGAAAATCGGTTTGTTCAGAGAGAGGATTTTACACAAACGTACGTTTTCATCGATAGGCCTATTTGTATTTTGTATTCTCCAACATTAGAATGAGCGCAGAGTAGAGGTATAATGGAATGGACCTTTCACATGAATGTCAAACATTCTTAACAACTGACCAATCAGAACAGGACCTGAATGTATATATATTAGGAATCAGTTTTATTGAGGTAGGACAAAAAAGAGAATTATTAAATGATGAATGAAATGATAACTATAGTTTACATTTTTCATGAAAGTTTAAAATTCATTTAAATCAAGCCTTTCATTACATTTTAAATAAGGAGCGTCTTATCTTCCTGAGCGGGTTCCATAAATATTAATGTAAGCCTAAAATTATGTATTTTAAATGTATTGTTTTTATATGTAATTGGCCAATGGCTGTTAAAGTAAAAAAATGATAACGACGATTTTAATGATGATAATGATGATGATAATAATATTGTGATGGATAATGATGATGATGATGATGATGATGATGATGATGATGATGATGATATCGTGATGGCTAATGATGGTGATGGATAATGATGACGGCAGTAATGACGACGACGATGATGTTAGTGGTTCTGATGATAACGATGATGACGTTGAAGATGATGTTTGCGATAATGATGTTGACGATGGTTATCATCATCAGGCATCATCATCATCCTCCTCCTCACCATCATCATAAAAAAAAAAATAACAATAGAAAATTATCTTTAAAAATGACGAATAAGTAAAGATAACCTAAGTAAAGGTGCACAGGTAAAAACAGGCCAATAGCGTCATCCATCAATCACAGTGACCTCTCATTTGTTTTTTCTTGGCTTAGATATTAGGTATGCTGTTCGCTGTCATTCTTTGCTGTGCAATTTTTAAAAGTTATGATCCAGAAAATGAAGAGTACAGGTACATGACTGCCATACGTCCATTTGCAAAGCGGAAAAACGAACACAAAGGAAATCAGATGACACCGCATGAAACCTCGTTTGGAATCGGTATATTCAGGGATTGATTATATCAAAGTTGTTTAGACCTTACATTGTGGAAAGACATTCAAATTGTGTAATAAGAATGATACTATATTCAGATTGATTTCATTAGATGGTTATATCTTATTTTTTAAACACAAACAAGAAAATATACTATAAAACACAAACAGGCCCGGAATTGTTTGATTTATTTTACTTTGATTTATTTTTTATTTTTAATTTAAGGCGCATACGTACTCTTTAAAAGTGCCATTATTATTGATATATAGGCCTATACGGTGCCTTCAAAATATTTTTCATGAGAATATTAAATGACGTTCACTTATATTTCCCAAAGTCCATTACCGGTGTATGTATCACTTTTATGAGAACTTTCCTAGAGATCCTGTGACGTGAACACAATCATCGTGTTTCCACCCGATACCACGGTGGTGGTCCTGTGTTACAATTTTATCCTTATTTTAAAATCTACTAGGTTTTTAAATTCTTAGTTCAATTGTTCATATCCTTCTTTCTATATATTATTTTATACTGTTATATGGACAATCTTGATTCCAAAATAAAAGATTTGATTTTTATTTGAATAGGCCTACTGGCTGTAAATAGGCCTACTGAAAAACACTAGTTGGTGTGGCGGATCTAGGAAATGGCGCTCTCAGTCTTTCTTTCTCCATTTTATTTTAAATTATGAAAATTTTATATGGCCGGCTGGCCCCTTTGAATTCGGCACTGGGTAGGCCTAAAAAAGAATTAATCATTTGGAAAAGGAGGAGTGACTCATGAGAACAACGGGGACTCACTCGGCTTTTGCAAGCCTGCACTGCGACCGCAATCCCATCGTAGGCTTCCACTTTTTTAACACTATACTATATTTAATTTGAAGTGTACCTGAATTTAAAGTCACATGACCAAAAATGTATTTTGTGAAAATGTACCGTGTTTGTTCTATTTGACTTGAACTTAATAAATGGAGTGAATACATCTCTGCTGTGAGTTATATCGTCATTTTTTACAACTTGGAAGTTTCCTTTTCTTTACAAAAATTCAATTTTTAAACTGTAATAAATAATGTTAAACTGTAAGTATTAAATAAATAGTAGGCCTACTACATGTACACCAATTAATTTCTTACCATTGGTTTTGGTAGGCCTACCAGCCCTTAAGTAGGCCTATTCCAAAAATAAGAGTATAGAGGAGTGGTAGAGAATGATAGGTCATAGGAAGGCCCACCACCGAATGGCGTATGGTATACAGTAGTATTCATGTAGGCTTATTTGTTATGCTAAGTGCTGTGAATGATCCTAAAAGCATCGATTTCAAATACTGTACTGTAAAATGGGTTAAACATTATTTTTGTCAGTCGTTTGAAAAATCAATCTGCCGCCCTCTATTTTTCTTTCAATTATATACAAAAATCTTATAAACACAGATTACAGTATACTCACTGTATATTGAATTGAAAATAAATTGAGAATGTACTGCTTCAAATTATTTTTTTAATAACTGCTGAAAAAAAATGTTTGAAAGAAAATCAACAATAATCAAAGTTGTTAACCATTCCACATTGAGTATACAGTAGAACCCCTCATTTACGTACGGCACGGGCCCAGAGCCGTTCGTAAATGCGGGAATTCGTAAAATCGAGGTTGACCCATTCTCAGTGATCCCACTCTGGCCCTACACAAATTTGTTTTTATCGGATACTTTTACCTTCTTAAATTGATTGTGGATTTTACTCCTACATAACTTCCATAGATACTTGTTTATTATATATATTGACCATTCAATAAAACAATCAAGCACATGTTGAATTTTAAAGCTGAAAACGATGTTTGAAAGAGAAGTAAAATTTGTCGTATGCACATGTGTGAAGCCATAAAAAACACTGACTTGAAGAAGCCCGTTAGAGGGCCTCCTTCACTTGAGAATTACATATTACTGTACAGTATGGTGTGTTGTGTTGTATGCATGCTAATAACAGTTACAATTCGAGCAGATTTTTTTTTTTATCTTTCACTTAAATTTTTATGACGTCATCACTTTTATTTAACGTACGTAAAATCGGGAATTCGTTAAATCGGGGTTCGTAAATGAGGGTTTCTACCTGTATAAAAATTAATAGAAGCTGGTATCAGAACATTATAGTCTGCTGCCCTCTGGTTTTATGATTGAATTTATTCATTAATAAGGTAAAACAAGACATTAAAACAACAGGAAACAGGAACGGCAGTACCACGAACAACCATGATTAATAATATAATCAGTAACAACTATTTACTTCCATATGGGTCCCATAAAAACGATTTCAAATTGCAAAGTCAACAGAAAAAAGAACAATAAACAGACATAAAAAGAAAAAAACAATTAAATAAAATATTTGGAATTACTTTACAGAATTGATGTATGCAGCATAATTCAAATTGTTAAAACAGTAACATTAACAAAAACAATTAAACACGATAAATTATTTTCATATAATTTTATAATAAAAGTGATATTAATCATTTTAAATTATTTATTTTACTTAATTTTATATTATTTCATTTATCCGACTTCACAATGGCAAATATGCAATTAAACTACAATGAGATAAGCTGCCAGTGACAGAAAAGGGGCAACAGGTGAACAGCCAAGGCACCCGAAATCATCGAATCCTGAACTGTACAGTTAACATTACATTGTACATATTTAACTCTACTAATATGCTATACTTTTAAATCACCATGCTCGCTCGTGTTTCAAACAACACAGACACATATTTCAGTTTCAAATATTTTTATTATTAATACAATTACTGTATTGTTATTATTATTATTTAATTAAATATTATTATAATTATTACCTTATTATTATTATTATTATCATTATTATTATTATTATTACCACCACCATGTTGTCAAGAAGTGAATTATTTTATGAACTATTTTTTTTATTGTGCACTACTTTATTTTGTGTAGGGATCTATCCCTTTTGTTGTTTCACCAAGCTTTGCGTAGGTGTATATTGTTTTAGCGCCCTTGTGATTAGGCTAATTAGTAGCGCTTGGTGTAAATTGAGACCAAGGAGTCAGTGGATCATTTGCATTGATTGAGTCAAGACATACTGAGAAATGCACCGTACAGATAGACAAGAAACTTGAGAATTTTGCGATCTGAATAGAATGATCTTTGTTAACTGATAACTGGTTGTTTACATTGAGAACATGTGCTTATCGGGGTTCTATTGACATGTTACCAACGAGATCAGAGCATTACAGGGGTTTTTGTTTTGTTTTGTATTTGCCATTATATGAAGTTTCTGTTGAATAAACGCCCACTTTGTCTTAGCTCATTCTTTGACGTCTTTTGTGCCCACGACAATAGTAGTACTATTATTCCAGGAATAGTATCATCAACATCATTTACATTATTATGCTTTTCCTATGTTTGTCCCCCAGCCATCCTATTACAATTTTGCTGCCATCTTAGTCTGTTGCTTCTAACTGTTCTGCTTTTTGATTGAAAGACAGACAATGTTTTAGTGGTCCGTCCTTCCACATGCTTTTATTTTGTGACAGCTTTGTTTCTATTGTAGTCTGTTGCTTGCTTCCAACTGTTTATCCTCATTGATGGAATGAAGACGTTTGCTAATGTTTATTTGAACCCTTAGAGTTAGAATAAAGAATCTGGACAAAATTATATTTCAAAGCAGAGAAGCAGCCCTTTAAAGGTTCTCCATCACAAGCAGTTTGGTGCAGCGGAAACGGTTAGGTTTCCCAACATCGAGGTTGGGGTTTCAATCCCTCACTGTGGTTTTCACTTGTTTCATTGAGCAAGGCACTTATCTGTGTGGTAGGCTTCGACAAGAATAAAACACGCTAACTGCAAATATATGTTTTAACTTCAGTTCGATGTTTCATTCGGACGAGTGTCGTCACAACTTGATCAGAACCAGAAAAAGCCAAACAAAGGAAAAAGAAAAACCTCTGTGGAAATAAACCACAGCTCATAGTCATACATACTGCATACTATCAATATGGAATTAGTGTCACTTGGTTTGCAAATCATGTAAACAATGAAAACTTTGGTAAATATCACATCATTTATTATCCAGACTA